CATATTTTTGGTGGTGGTGGTACAGTTGAAGATGTTTGAAATAAGGGCTTGTCTTACAATTGTTGCCACCTTACAATTGATGAAATACAGAGCCTTCCAATCCTACTAAATATAACTGTACTGAACAATTCAGATAATGTACAGTATGGTGCATTCTCACCTTTAGGGGGGGACACAATTATAATAATTCTAATTCTAAAAATGTATGCATCCTGTGGATTTTGAAATCTCTGCTATTAATCTAATTAGATCTCATGACTATCATACTGCTATCACTCTGGCACCCAGAATTAATATAATTCCAATCTTAACATTTTGAGAACACCCCTATGGAGGACTTTAGAGCACTATGAGATCAAAATGAACGACGGATGCAAACCCCCTGTTTTTGGCAGAATGGGAGGGAGGAATTGTGCTCACCATTCTTCTTCTGTGGTTAGATCTCTTTTTATTTCCCTCTTACTGTGAAAAGTGGAACAAAATCAAATCCCTACCAGTCCCCTCATTGCACCCAATTAAGGGAAGGGGGGGGGGGGATTAGGCTGGAATCTGTTAGTATCTTTGCTGCTGAGGTCAAAGCTCAGTCTCATCTATGGGACCCCCTACCAGGAACCATACGTTCCTGTCCAATTAGTAATGCAGTGCATACAAATATTAATATTAAATATCATACTTCGATGAAACAGGGTATTCCTTAATCTGATGAGTGAAAATGATCTTGATGGTTCTTTTTCAAATCCTCCTCTGGATTCTGGAGCAACACAGAGCTCTAGGAGGAAAACAGAATATTTGAGCAATTAATATTGAGAAGTAGCACAACTTCAAATCATAGTTAATGAAAACCATTGTTTTATCATTTTAATCCAAAACAACCATGCCTCCCAGAATTTGTGACCATTGACCATGCGAGTTGGGGCTTTTAGGAGTTGAAGTCCAAAATACATGAAAGATCATATTTTGGGAGCGACTGCAATATATCACAGTTTGAAGAATATATTACACGGAATAAACTTTGTTGATTCTACAAAGGAGAATTTGGACTTGGAAGCAAACTTTCAAGCCCTGATTTTTTTTTTTCCGGTTTAGAAACCCGAATGAACATCTACACTGTGATGCTAATTTGGATATAGATAGAATTAAGTCACCACCAGCTTGCATTGTATGTAAAGAGATCCACAAAATTCCTATCTGTCTTATACACATGTTCTTGCCCTATAGGAGAGGTGTAACACATTTTCTTGCCCTTTCTCTTGGTCTACACCAGTGGTTCTCAACTTGTTGGTCCCCAGGTATTTTGGCCTACAACTCCCAGAAATTGCAGATAGTTTACCAGCTATTAGGATTTCTGGAAGTTGAAGGCCAAAACATCTGGGGAACCACAGGCTGAGAACCACTGATATAAACGTTGTAGGTAACATAAAAGTTTCTTTTTACAGCTTTGGCACTGCATTAATATGTGACTATTAAAACATGTGTTGGAGGTAATATTAACATGTATGTTTATTATACATAATCTGGTTGGATCTAAACGGAGGTATCTTGAGCTGGTTAGGTAGACAGAGATTTCATTGCCTCCGTCACCCAATTATTTCTTCAAACCCTGTATGAGGAAAGGAAAGGTCCCTGAAAATGGGGAGGCGTGCATTTTCTGGGACTCAAACTCTCTGACTAGCAGAAGGAAACTCCTCGATTCAACTCAATTATTTTAAGTAGCACATCATTATCTAGCCCCAACACAGTAAAAAGAAATGAGAACACTCAAATGGATTCTTTTCTACCCACAGAATGCAACCTCCATATCCAGAGAAGATGGTTTGGGAAACACACTACATTATGCATTGGTAACTACCTGTGATGAAAAGCATGTATGTAATTTTACAAAATTGTTGATCATGCATCCCATTTTTTTTAAAAAAAGTAAATGTAATAACAATAGAGAAATTATTATAATTGGAGGCACAACCAGACTACTTACCAAAATTACCATCCAACTGGATATACAGTTCAAACACACTAAATGCAATTGTTGTGTGTGCAGGGAAAACGATTGCTCTGTCTCGTCCTTTGTAATTATGGTCATCAATAATATGAAACTATTTTGAAAGGAAGGACAAAGCATTCACATCTGAGCTGATAATTTAAGCTTTTCAAATAAAAATGTACAATACACAAAACTAAGTAATTCTTAGGAAATATAGTAGGCAGTATAACTCTTTTTAATCCTAAAGTCAGATTCACTATGTGGGCTACTGTGATTATTGTTGTCATGAGTGATGCCATTTGTTTATAGCAGTATTTAAAATACTCTTCAAAACTTCCTCTCAATTTAAGGTGTTCCACAATTCATGGGGCCCACAAAAGCAGTCCCAGTGCTTTTGGGACTTCTGCCTAAAGTGGGTTCATGAGTACAAACAAATGCATCATACATGGATCATTTATCTTGACCATTAGCATGACAACAAGGGTTCCCAACCTTTTTTTTTTAACTGGGGACCACTTTGACCAGGAACCATTTTCCAACATTAGTACCAAAAGGGTTAGGATCAGTTTTTGGTCAACTTTAGATTTGGTTTGGTTATTTGGGTGCTGATTCAGAAAATTGCATTGGCTAGACCACATCAGCTCTAGTTTCTGATACAGAAGATATGCCATCCAGTAGTCACCTAACCATTTTCTCTCGCCTCCTCGCCATAGGCACATAGCCACAAGGAAGGGTGCATGGCCCATGGGGCATAGTAACAGTGAGGTCACAGACCATATTTAGTTCTTATGGACCCCTAGTGGTCAACGGACCACAGGTTGGGAACCACTGCATGACAAGGACAATGTGAAAGGACAGACAATATGCTATACATGTATCAGAAATTGCTAAATAAAAGCATTCTGATGGATTGAGCTGGATGCCTTTAGACTGATGAAGTTATATTAGTCAGACAGTAAATAAACCTTCTGAGTACCCTAGAATCTGGTCAGGTAGACAAAATTTATATATGCTACAAAAAACAACCATAAAATTGTGCACACAGTGGGCCCTTGGTATGATAGGGTTTGTTTCCAGGACCATCTGTAAATGACAAAATCCACACATGCTCAAGTCCCAGTATACACAATAGTGTACTAAGAGGATGTTGCTTATATAAAATGCTTTATTCTTGGAATAAAAGGCTTTATTCTTGGAACAGATTATTGAATCAATGGATATGGAGGGCTGGCTGTATTCTGTTACTATTTCAGATATGTGTATTGGACCGCAAAAAAGATTCTGCACTTTTGATACTACAGAAACTAAATGAGAGTTGCTTTTGTATGGCAATAACTTATATTTTTGGAAATTACTTCCCCTTCCAGGTCCCCAGTCATTTACCAGAAGATGGTTTGTTTATATCAGCTTCCTGCAACTCAGCATCCTACCACCACCACAAATCACCCGACTGATTACTTCTGGCTAAGCTGACAGATAGACAATTTATTATGTCTACAGAGTGTTATTAAGCATGCTCACTCACCCGCATTGTGTCCCCTCTCATGCCCGCGTGCACAGACAGTGAACACTGCCGTGTTGTTCTAATGCTCTCCATG